CTCTTTCTCTCTATTTCACAACATGAATTAACTTGACATGACTAAAACTTGACCACCGTTTTTTTTAATCATTTATTTAACCATAAAAGTAATAAAATATTTTTTTTATCAAAAAACATATACATTATACGGATTTGAGTTTAGATGTTTTACCGATGATATTAACATAAATCACTAGGTAACTTGCTCTGCTCAAAGCAATAAGCTAATTAATAATACTGATTATATAATTACTATAATTATTTATCTCATTAAACTAATAAGAATTAAACATCCATAAAATTTAAGAAAAATATTAAAAACAAAAAAAATGATGAAAAGATTAAAATATTTTATTTATTTCATCGTAAATATCTTTTAGATGAAATTTCCCATATCAAAATTAATGGTTTACTTTTAACTAATACTAGATGAAAACTCGTGTATACATTCCAGTTATATATTTTTCTATATACAATCTTCGATTTGTTGAGGCCTTTAGTTTCTCATTTAATTTATATATTTTTAATATTCAACTTCAATCTTATTAGATATAATTTTGGTTGGTTTAATATAATCTTTAAGGATTGAGAAAATTTTTTTGCGCCATGCTTAGTTTATATTAAACTAGATTTTAGCTTCATTTCTTTAACCTAACATTTTTTCTTTTCGTTTTTGAACTTTTCTTTAACCTAACTTTGGTTGCTTGTGTTAGGACTATGCGCATATGATGGAGGTCCCAAAAATGGCAACAAGAACATAAAAACATACACATTAACTGTAAAACAATTTTCTCTTTTTTTTTTCATTGATCTACCGTAAAGTCAGTAAATAAGAAATACAAATAGAAGTTAGCTTATAATTTAGGAAGTGGGAAGAGTGGAGAAGATGCTCCTAATTTAGAGAAATGAACAAACGTAACAGACTACAATTATAATTAAATATAATTAGATATTTGTTCTCCATCAGCATATAAGTCCAACTCTATAAATGTGTGGATAGTTCTGTGTGACCATTTGTTATGTGGGTTTTTTGGAACCATGCGTTAATGAGATATTCTTACAAAAACGTTCGGTCTTTGGTAAGCATCTGAGCCATCTAAGTTTTTACCTTTGAGTGTGGTGTGAACAATTTGATTTACAAGCTTATGGAAGGAAGAATTTTGTTTTCTTAGTGTTTATTCATGTTCGTAAAATAGATATGGATATATACTTGTAAGAGAATATATTTCTCACCTGTACATAATTCAAAACCCAAATTAACATCATCTCTTAAATACATGACTAGAAAATATGTACGAATCAACTGCATTGCAGACATTAATTAGGAAGATAATTAAAAAGCATAACGCAACAGGTAGATACTCTGCAATTAACATGTATCACCCATGTGTGCTTAGAAATTTGTTTGTCAAATCTTTCATTATAATTTATAAAGAAACAGCAAAAGTACTTGAAATAACCTGAATGCATGATACCAACCCAATAGACAAGGCCGTGCCTCCTTAAAGAGGCATTCGCCTCAAGGCCTCAGATGATTTTATGTAATTTATGGTCCCATATTCTAAAAATTAATTGTAGTATAATGATAAAAATATGGTAAGAACAAATTTTGAAATTCTCATCTCAAATTCAAAACCATTTTGATGCTAAAATAAGTTTTTTTTTTATCTCATTGACTTTTTATTGACACTCTAACAATCATCTGAAATTAAATTATATTTGTGGTTAAAAATCATATGTAAAAAAAATTGTTTTAAGTTCTCCTCGGACTCCTAGAAGTCTAGGCACAATACTGCCAATAGATCTTTCGTTTATCAACTACTCCTTGGCAAATAAAATCTTTATTTTCTCTCATTGATAAAGGGATATGACTTGCACTCATTTCATATATAAAATGTACGTTACACAAATAAGATTCACTTGACCTAACTCGACTTTTTTTTCTTGTTCTGCCAAAAACAAATATTAATTTTCTTATCTTTTACTCGAATAATAAATAGCTCACTATGGTTTTACTAGGGATGAGGTAGTACATTAATTAATGTTTTTGTTCTGCCAAAAAAAACATTAATTTTCGATGACAAAAATTAATGTTTTACTAAAGATAAGAAAATTAATTTCTTTTTGGCCGAATAATAAATAGCTCACTGTGGTTTTTTGGCAGAAAAAAAAAACATTAATTTTCT